AAACTGAACAGACTCGATAAAGTGAGCCGGTTATCTATTCGTTTCGTTACACGTTACAAATTTCCCCTTTCCAGTATCATTGTCGAAAGTTATTGCGAGAGTTGAAATTTAAAAAACTCAACTGTTTTTTGCAGTAAGAAGGAAAATTATAACTAGACCTTTCTTCGAAAAATTATGATCCATTCGAAGAGTGTAACTGTGAGAAGTGAAAAAAAGATGCCTGGCTTTATATTGTCTACAATGAAACAATTACTTAGGGAGATTCGTCATCTGGAAAGGATGGTGCTGCAGCAGCAGCAGATCAACAGCCATCAGATGCGAGCGACATACAGGCTGATCACCATTCCGTTCTGCTGAGCATGGTTGCGAAAGAGGCTGGTTGTGCTCCGGAGGAGTTGATTGATGTGGATTTGTATGTTTACGATCATCAACCTGCTGCGTTGGGTGGTGTCTACGAGGAATTCATAAGCAGTCAACGTTTGGACAACTTGGTTGGCACGTTCAGCGTGATTCGCGCGTTGATCGAGAGTGTATCGGAGCAGCACGGAGTGGCTGAGTTGTCGGCAGATCCGAATATTCGTTTTGTGGCGTGCTATGACAACGAAGAGTGCGGCAGTGAGTCGGCGCAAGGCGCAAAAACTCACTTTACCGAATGGGTGCTGAGACGATTATGTGCTTGTGGTGGTGGTGGTGGCGAGTCGGTGGCTTCTCGAAATGGTACGGAATTCGAGGAGGCCATAGGCAAATCGTTCATGATCAGCGCTGATCAAGCACACGCGTCACATCCGAACTACAAGGAGAAGCACGAGGATCAACACAGACCACGCTTCCACGGAGGTGTTGTCGTCAAGGTGAACACGAACCAGCGTTACGCGACCACCTCACGAACTCATGCCATTCTCAAGCAAATCGCACATCTGGCCGAATGTCCACTGCAAAAGTTCGTGGTCAGAAACGATATGCCGTGTGGCAGCACAGTGGGGCCGTTCCTGTCGTCGAATTTGGGTGTGCAAACAATCGATGTGGGTTGTGCTATGCTCGCGATGCACTCCATCAGAGAGTTCACGTGCACCTCAAGCATCGCTCAGGCTGTGAGCCTGTTCACAGCCTTTTATAAGCATCTACCTGCGGTGCTCGGCTCGTTGCAATAGGATAATTTCTTCTCGTTCAACTTTTTCACTCTAGTTTCATTATGGCTTATTGTCAGATTTGCTATATTTTAGTTTATGTTCGCATATTTTGATTGTTCGTTATCCGGTTTTTTCATTTGTTCATTCACGCGATTAATTTATTCTTTTTATTAATTCAGCAATTCGTTCTGATTTCATATATGTGCGAATTTCGCGTATTGCGTGATGAATTTAAAGGGTATCAGTTGAAGATTATATGAAGTGTTTTAATTTAAATTATAAATTCTGAATAAGAAATGCAACCGAATAGTTTATTCTGAACAATACGGCAAATATTCACTTTACAGAGTTTTCACTAGAATTGCCACACAATAAAAACACTAATAATGAACAACTAATAATTTACATACCATCATTATTACTGCCGCTCTCCTTATAACTACAAAATTGACCCGTTATATACAACTGATTTAAAGAGTTAGATGACGAGTATTACCATATTTCCCTTCTTAAAAGGTAACAATGAATAGGCGCTCGACTGATGCAAACTGAGCTCTTTTTAACTCAGAGTTTCACCTTACCAGTGCCATGTCAACATGCCTTGAATAACATATCGGGATGAATTCTCGAAGTGATGTGAGACAAATGACAATAAAAGCAGTAATAATTATGGTGTGCAGCATCGCAAAACTACTCATTCATATACATCCTCACGTTCACAAATGTATTTCACCACATCTCGCGGTGTTTTCAATTTTTCCGCCTCTTTATCCTCGATTTCAAAGCCGAACTCATCCTCCAACGACATTACAATCTCTACGTGATCCAGCGAATCAAGGCCCAAATCTTGGAAGAAGTTCGCATCCAATGTTAACAAGTCATTACGGTCTTGCGGGAAACGATCCCATGCACGGATTGCTTTCAGCACTCGATCGGAAACCTAAAATTCACCAACAGCCTTAGTCTTGAAAGCAGAAACTGAAGTTGCATAAGCCCAACAATCCAGTTAGACTATCTCATAGTCAGTCAGGTAAGTGCTCTCA